AAACGTTATCTGGTACTGCACTCTTCTCACTGTTATGTCTGAGCCCACTGTTGCTCTCTGTGTTGATCCATCTTGTTCTAGTCTTCCTCATTTTGCTGACTCTCTACTAAGTATGATGTCCTCCTTCCTTCAGGGACTGGTCCCTCCTGATAACATGTCCTGTGTATGAGAGATGAAGTCTGGCCATCCTGGCTTCTAAGGAGCATTCTGACTGCACTTATTTTATGACTTTTTTTTTTTTTTTTCTTCTGGAAGCTCCTAGAAACTAGAAAAGGCAATGAAATGGATTCTTCCCTAGAACCTTCAGAAGGAACACAGTCTGTCAGTACCTTAACTTGAGCCCCATTAAGCTCATTTCAGACTTGTGATTTTTAGAACTGTGATAGAATTTCTTTTTGTATGTGTTATTTTAAGCCACTAAGTTTATGACGGTTACAGAGGCAGTTGTTGTTAAGTGCTGCCGAGTCAGTTCTGAGCCATAGTGACCTTGTATAGGGTTTCCTAGGAGCAGCTGGTGAACTTGAACCACTGACCTCGTGGTTCAAACTGACTTTGCAGACCAGCACATTCACTCATAGCACCACCACAGGACCCTAAAAAGGCAGCAGGAAATGTCTTAATCAAGGTACAGAGAGATTACGTCACATGGCCAAGGTCACATGGCAATTCACTGATAGAGCAAGGATTTGGACTAGTCTGAACATGTGCTCAGCCACTCCATGATGCTGCCTCTCACTTAGGGCCTCTCTTTAGAGTTGAAATTTTCCATATTCCCCAAATAACTGCATGAAGAATAATGACCTTTCAATCAGAAGAGGTAAGATTTGACTAAACTTCATCAGACAGGACCATCTGGGCCTGGGGAGACTATTGGCTTAGCTCCTGCCCTCTGTCCCCTGAAAGCATTAATACCTGATATCCAACCAAACCAGTGCCATCGAGCCTATTCTGACTCATGTTGTTGTTGGTGTTGTTAAGTGCTGTAGAGTCAGTTCTGACCCACAGTGACCCTGTGTGGTGGTTATAAGGAGCAGCTGGTGAGCTTGAACCGCCAATCTTTGATGTTCAAACCATCCTTGTAATCTAGTGTATTAACCTGCAGCGCCTGTAAATCTTTATGGAATTTATGAGACAGCCACATTGTTCTGCAAAGCAGCTGGTGGGTTTGAACTCTCAACCTTGTTGGTAGCAGTTCAGTGCTTATCCTATAGCACCATCAGGACATCCAACTAGAATGATGCAAACAGTTAACACACTTGGCTGCTAACCACAAGGCTGGAGCTTCAAGTCCAACCAGAAGAATCTCAGAAGAAAGGCTTGGTGATTCAACAGCCATTAAAAACCCGGTGGAGCACAATTTTCTCTGACACACATGGGGTTACCATGAATCAATTTGACTCTATGGCAACTTTATGCTTTTTAATTCCACCAGGCAAACCTGGCCCTAAAATTCCAGACAGGGTCTTGACTGCCAGGAGCATACATTGACCTTCTTCCTCTCTACTCCTGGTGCATACAAGGATGTTTCAGAAGGGGGACTCAAAGCGGGGCATAATTGGCATTTATTCAAATTGTGCTTAATTGAATACGCCATCTGCACCTTAGAAAACCACATGGGGTACAGGCTCTGTAAAGAGGAAGTAATTTTCATTAACAGGATCTAAATTAGTCTGACACAAAGAGAGAGGCGTATCTATGGAAAATACTGCCTATGGCAAGCACTGAAATCACACCCCTGTCCAAACATCTGACACCCATCTTTTAGATAATGTTACCATCATAGCAGCTCAAAAATACAAGTCAAGCTTGTTAACTTCTTACTTAACACATTATGGCCCTACATGAAAATTAATACTGCTCCTTCCTTGCTTTCGCTGATGAAAATTGATCTGAAATGTGCTCAAAGTCATTTTCTCCCTCAGTTTTGCGTCTTTTTATACTCAGCTGAGCAAGCTCACACAGTCTGCTTTGACCCATCCCAAACCCAAATCCATTGCCATTGAGATGATTCCAATCCATAGCGAATCTGTTGTTGTTGTTGTTAAGTACCGTGGAGTCGGTTCTGATTCATAATGATCCTGCACAGGGTTTCCAAGGCTGTAAATCTTTACGGGAGCAGATAGCCTCATCTTTCTCCCACGGAACATCTGGTAGTTTCGAATTGCTGTCCTTAAGGTTAGCAGCCCGATTCATAACCACTATGCTACCAGTAGGACAGTAGAATTTCTCCCTAGGGCTTCTGAGACTATATCTTTATGGGAGCAGATTGACTTATCTGTCTCCTGTGGAGAAGCTGGTGGGTTTGAACTGATGATCTATAGTTAGCAGCTGAATATTTAGCCCTCAGCACCACCAAATTCCTTCTTTGACCTATACAAGTTCTCAAGTGGGAAAGTAATCATTTTAATTAGCTGAATGATCTCTCACAGCTGATGATAGAGAAACTGCAATGGTTAATTAAAAATGCTCAGTAGCGCCCTCCTTCAAGTGGTGCCTAGGGCATGTGCTATACCAGCTGTACCTTCAGTGGGCCTCTGCACAAAGACCTATACCATGCTACTGTGACACAGCTAATCGCCATGTGATGAACCGGATGCTGCACAAGAAGTTCCTCCCTCGCTTCCTCCGTGTCCTCCCTGCCTGCCTTCCAGTCAAGTGAAGTCTTTATTCAAAGAGATCAGGTGGTGATGGTTGGAGGGCAGCAGCCCCTGTGTGGTTCCCTGCTACTGTTAACAGCCTAGGGAAAGCCTAACAAACTGTTGTCTAACACACAAACTCCTGTGTGGTACTGTAGGATAAGCACTGGACTGCTAACCATAAGGTCAGTGGTTCAAACCTACCAACTGCTCCTTGGAAACCCTATAATGGGTCACTATGAGATGGAACCAACTCCACAGCACCTAACAAGAACACACACACTTGGCTCTGTTAAGTTCCTCATAGAGACTGTGTACTTTATGCTTCTTGGAGAACCTTCCATTTTTCTACCACATCTCTAACCTGTGTGTATGAGTTTCCTCAGGCGGCCATAACAACATGGCACAATGTGGTGGCTTTAAAGAACAGACATTTATTGTGTCACAGTTCTGGAGACCAGAAGCCAGGATTCACGGTGTTGGCAGGTCCTTGCTTTCTCTGAGGGTTCTAGGTGCTATCTTTTCTTGTATCTTTCCGTTCTGGTAGGCACATGGCTTCTCTCTTCCTTTGTGTGACTATTTCCCTACTTGTTCTACCATTTTCACCACTCAGAAGGCTCTTAGACTTAGGATCCACCCTACTCCTATGTGACCTTGTTTGGGTTAACTGATAACACCCTATTTCCACATGAGGTCACACTCAGCGATACAGAGGCTAGGAGTACAACGTATCTCTTTGAGGGACACAGTTCAATCCACAGAGCCATTCTTTTCCTCTAACCTCTTCCACTCAGCCTACAGACGTCCACCATCAAATGGAAGATAAAGTGAAACAACACAGAACCTTCTGTCATCCTATAATCTTTCTAAAATGCATTTATTATCTAGAATAAGGTATGGATAACATTAGACTGCTTACCAATAAACCAACATTAAGCTTATTAAGGTTACAGTGGGAGTTCTACAATAGAATCCTTGCTTTCCATGCAGGAGATCCTGGTTCTACTCCTGGTCAGTGCACTCCATGTGCATCCACCACCTGCCTGTCAGTGGAGGCTTGTGTATTGCTATGATGCTGAGCCAGTCCCAGACTAAAATAGACTAGAGACAAAGGCCTGGCAGTTTGCTCCTGACAATCAGCCAATGAAAACCCTATGAATCACTAGGTCCCAAATCCCAACCCCCTCTGGGGCTGGCATAGGACTAGCAGTGTTTCATTCCATTGGACATGGGGTTGCCTTGATTGGGAAGCCAACTCAACATCAGCTACCACCCACGAACCTGTTACAATCTAGCTAACACCCTTTCTTGGTAAGCATCATGTTGGTATGCATTACCCAGTTTCAGAACTTAGCTGCCTGCACTGCAGGAAACAGCTGTCTGTCTCAGAGGTTAGGGTATGGCATTTGGTTAGATCAGGCCACAAACTTTAAAGAAACTTTTTGAGAGATAGGCCTGCACCCATGACAAGTGGATTTTTTTCTTTCTTTTCTTAAATGACTACTTCTGTGGAAGTGGCTGAGTTTTCATTTTGTGATTTGTGTCAGGAGCAGTATGGTGGGTGGTATCCAAATTTATGGGTGCCGTATTTCCAGGTCATTCCAGTGGTGTTTTTGGTAGCCTTTACAATCTGGAGTCCCTGGAAAGGGCCTCTTGTCAGAACAGTTTTGTGCTATGAGTTCTCTGGGCTCTCTTGACTCTGTCAGAGGTAGGGGTGTGGTGAGCTGCTGGCTGTGTAGACCATGATGTTAGCCAACGATCACTCTTTGTGTGGTGTCAGCATCACTTTGCTGCAGAGACCTTGAGTGACAGCTGACTTGTCAAGTGCAGCTGAGCATGAAGTTTCGCATCAGATTCTGTACTCTTGGTTGACTTATAAAGCTGCTGCTCTTTATTCATGCTCTCTAACTTGACATTGATCTTCATTCAATTCAGGCGAGAGTAGGTGGGGCTCAGTATCAGGACAAGAAGTGGGGATGGAGAAGTCCAGCCAGAGCAGGGGCTACCTTCAGGAGGAGCACTAGCCAGCGCAGAGGAGTTAGAGGCTGCCAGGAACCTTCCAATACTGCATTTCAGGGCCTGGGGCCTGAAGAGTACTCAAAAGAGATTGCTAGGGCCCCATCTTCTTTCAGGGCGACACTTGTCTCTTCAGTAAGGGTCTGGCATGGTCAGGACATATTGATGAATGGGTGTCAGTGAGTGTGGAGACATGTGGTCTGATAGTAGGAACCCATGAGGATGGAAGAAAATGCCAGAGAAGATCTTGCCACATGGACACTAAGGAGCTGCAGGTTAAAGGGAAGTTGTGTAGCCCACAGCTCATCTTTAGTCTGTTTTCTTAGCTTCTCCATTCTCTTTTTTCAGATTGTAACCATCTTGGCAAATATGTCTGTCCTGGAGCAGTGTGCCTCTGACATCATTCAGGAGAATGGTATGTCTTTTCAGCAATATGCATGTATTGTGTGCAGATACATGGTCTTGTGCTTTTGTGTTTTTGTGTATGTCTGTGTATAGATAAATATATGTGTTTCTGTGTGTGCATGAAGATATGTGGGGGGTTTTTGTGTGCAACTGAGTCAAAATGTAAGCATTTGTATATATCTATGTCTCTATCTCTGTCTCTCTCTATATATACCTATAACTAGCCTCAGAAACCCTGTACAGAGTTGCTATGAGTCTGAACTGACTCCACAGCACATAACCACCACCACCATACCTCTATCTAGACTCCTGGTGTGGTGCTGTGGGTTGATGCGCCAGACTGCAAAGGTGTTTGAACTGCAAGGTCGGTGGTTCGAACTCACCAACTGCTCCTCAGAAACCCTATACAGGGTCACTAGGGGTCACGACCGACTCAATGGAACTTATCATCAATAACAATGCCTATATCTACATATCTGGGAATGCAGTGGCCCCATATGATAAACGTTGGACTGTGAACCACAAGGTCTGCAGTTTGAGTCTGCCAGTCACTCTGAGGGAGAAAGATGAGGCTTTGTACTCCTGTGAAGATTGAAAAGAGTCAGAAAACTTATACAGGGTTGCTATGAGTCAGAACTGACTCACTAGCTCTTAACAACAACAAGTATCTCTGTGTATCTATTTCTATCTCTAGCTCTGTATCCAGATATGTTGTTTTTGTTAAGTGCCATTGAATAGATTCTGACCCTGTATAGGGTTTCCAATGAGAAGCTGATGTGCTTGAATTGCTAGCTGACGTTGCATTTCAAACCAACTTCTCTGTTCAGTGCATTAGTCCACAGCACCACACCAGGACTCCATATCCAGATATAGAGATCCTAAAAGAGGGCATGTGTGTATCTTTGTGTGTATATAGTTCATGGGGATGTGAGTGTGGGTGTATGTGCTCCCATATATGCCCTTATGTATTTGTGCAGGGTTTGTGTTCCTAACTACATGTAAGTATGTAATCCTCATTTATCAAATTCCTAATGCCGAATGTGGCACAAAGGATGAGCATTGGACTGCCATCTGCAAAGTTGGCCATTCAAACCTACCAGCCACTACTTAGAAACCCTATGCAAGGTCACAACGAGTCAGAATTGATTTAACAACAACAATGCCTAGTAGCTGCTGGGCCCTTTGATAAGTTCTTAGAATGTAGTGATGCACACAACTTGATGCCTGCCTTCAAAGAATGCCAGTGGGTGGGAAAGACATACATGTAAAAGAACAAGTAAAAACAGCACCCCTGCCACCAAATAAGTACAAGACAGTGTAAGTTCTATAATAGAGATCAGTATAGAGTATAGTTGGACTATGAATAAAGAAGACCATAGAATAATTGATGAATTTGAGTTATGGTGTTAGAGGAGAATATTAAAATATATATGCATACACACACACACACACATATATATATATATATATATATATATATATAACTGTGCCACTATATATATCTATATCTATCTATATCTATATCTATATCTCTCTCTCTCTGACTCTCTCGCTCTCTCTCTCTCTAGAGAGAGAGAGAGAGAGAGAGAGACAGAGACTTGGTGTGGTGTTGTGGGTTAATGTGCCAGATGACAAAGACGTTTGGAGGTCGGCAGTTCAAGCTCACCAGCAGCTCCTTGGAAACCCTATACAGGGTCACTGTGGGTTGGAACCAACTCGACGGCACTTAATAACAACAGCAATATGTATGTATAAATAATAGGATTTCCAAGGAGCAGTTAGTAAGTTTGAACTGTATAGTAGTATATGATCAAGAGCCAATGATACTGAAGAAGGAATTCCAAGGTACATTGAAGGAATTAGCAAAGAACAAGGCACCAGGAATTGATGGAATAAAAATAGAAATCTTTCAAGAAAGTGAGGCATCACAGGAGGCACTCACTCATCTCTGCCAAGAAATTTGGAAGGCACCTATCTGGCTGACTGATTGGAAGAGATCCGTATTTGTGCCCATTCCAAAGAGAAGTGACCCAACAGAATGCAGAAATCATCGGACAATCTCTTTGATATCCATGTGAGTAAAATTTTATTAAAGGTAATACAGAAATGGCGGCAAGCATACATTGACAGAGAACTTCCAGAGGTTCAAGCTGAATTCATATGGAATGAGGGATATCATTGCTGATGTCCGATGGATCTTGGCTGAAAGCAGAGACTATCAGAAAGATGTTTACCTGTGCTTTATTGACTACGCAAAGGCTTTTGATTGTGTGGATCATGACAAGCTATGGACAACCTTGTGAAGTATGAGTATTCCTGAACACTTATTTGTGCTCAAGAGGAATCTGTACCTGAACCAAGAGGCAGTTGTTTGAACAGAACATGGGAACACTGAATGGTTTAAAATTAAGAAAGATGTGCAACAAGGTTGTATTCTTCTACCATACTTATTCAACCTATATGCTGAGCAAATAATCTGAGAAGCTGGGTTCTATGAAGAAAAATGTGGCATCAGGATTGGAGGAACACTCATTAACAACCTGCAATATGCAGATGATACAACCTTGCTTGCTGAAAGTGAAAAGAATTAAAATATTTATTGATGAAGATCAAAGACCACAGCCTTCAGTATGAATTACATCTCAATGTCAAGAAAACAAAAATCCTCAACACTGGACCAGTAAACAACATTCTTATCAACAGAGAAAAGATTGAAGTTGTCAAGGACTTCATTCTTTTTGGATCAACTATCAACACTCATGGAAGCAGCAGTAAAGAAATCAAATGACATATTGCATTAGGCAAATCTTCTGCACAAGACCTTTTTAAAGTGTTGAAGAGCAAAGATGTCAGCTTGAGGACTAAGGTGCGCCTAACCCAAGCCATGGTATTTTCATATGCATGCGAAAGCTGGACAGTGAATAAGGAAGACCATAGAAGAATTTATGCTTTTGAGTTATAGTGTTGGAGGAGAATATTGGAAGTGCTATGGGCTGCCAAAGGAACCAATAGATTTGTTTTCGAAGAAGTGCAGCCAGAGTGCTCTTTGGAGGCCAAGATGGCCAAACTTGGTCTCTCATACTTTGGACATATTGTCAGGAGGGAACAATCGCTGGAGAAGGATGTCATGTTTGGTAAGGTGGAGGGTCCGAGAAAAAGAGGAAGACCCCCAACGAGATGGATTGGCCAAGTGGCAGCATTGATGAACTGAAGCATGGCAACAGTAGTGAGGTTGGCCCAGGATGGGGCAGTGTTTCATTCTGTTGTGCATAAGGTCACTATGAGTTGGTATCGACTCGATGACACCTAACAATAACAACAACAACATGTATGTCTGTATGTATGTATGTACATATACATATATATGGAGCTCTGCTAGCATAGTGGTTACGAGTTGGGCTACCAACCTCAAGGTCAGCAATTCGAAACTATCAGCCATTCCACAGGAGAAAGGTGAGGCATTCTTCCTCGGAAACCCTGTACAGGGTCACTATGAGTCAGAATTGACTCCACGGTACTTAGTATTAAGTATATATATGTATGTACTAAAAAACAACTTGAATTGAAGAGTCCTGATGTGGTACTGTAGAATAAGCACTGTACTGCTAACTGCAAGATTGTCAGTTCAAACCCACTAATCGATTCTTCAAAACTCTATACAGGAATACTATGAGTCAGAACCAACTAGAAGACACTTAATAACAACCAAGGGAGCACAGTGACTTCATGGGGTAAACACTGGACTGCGAACCACAAGGTCAGCAGCTCGAGCCTACTAGCTACTCCATGGAAGAAAGTCTGCTACCTTGAAAATTTAAAAAGCCTCAGAAATCCCATTCAATGAATGGTGCTATGGATTGGAACAACAACCACCTGCCGTGAAGGGACCCTGGTGGTGCGGTTGTTAAAGCACTAATAAAATAATGGCAGTTTGAACTCACCAGCTGCTCCAAGGAAGATAGCTGTGGCAATTCACTTTTGGAATGATTTACAGCCTTAGGAATCCTATGGGACAGTTCTAGTCCTAAAGAGTGGTTGTGAGGCAGACTCTACTCCATGGCAATGGGTTTGTTTTGTTTTGTTGGGAGGCATCTGAGTTGTGGATTGTTGTCATGAAGTGCCATTGAGTCAGTTCTGACTCATAGCTACCCTGTATAGGGCTTCCAAGAAGTGATTGGTGAACTTGAACTGCTGACCTTCTAGTTCAAATGGACCTTGTAGTTCAGTGCTTTATTCCAAGGTGCCACACCAGGACTATGAATTGTGAATAAACCCACCAAAAATTGACTCATTTTCACCCTATAGGACAGAGTAGAACTGCTATTTATAGTTGCTGCTGTTAAGTGCCGTCAAGTTGGTTCTGACTCATAGTGACTGTATACAGGGTTTCCAAGTGAACTGGAACCACCGATCTTGTGTGTCAAACCAACTTTGCAGTCCAGCACATTAATCCACAGTGCCAGAGCAGGACTGCATAATATTTAGGGTTATGAAACTATAAATCCTTACTCCAGCAGACCACCTCATCTTGCTCCACTGATCTTATACTTAACAGCTCAGTGTTTAGCCCACTGCACAACCAGTGCTCCTTAGAGTGGTAAGGAAAAGATAAATATTTCATTATGCTCCAAAATGTAAAAATCTATTCCTATGCAGGGATATATTTGAACTTAAAATCACAGAACAGAGCAAGCCCAACCCATCTGAGAGCATCTCTTCTCCCATCTTTGTTGAGGGTGTCACCAAAGTCCAAGTGAAGTGGGACCACACATTTCATTGGCCTGAAAGCTGATCTAAACAATCTCTGCAGGAGAACCAGGCAATTGCCTTGCAAGTGGGAACAGAGAGTGGTAAGGGCTTCCTGAGACTGGGAAATGAGGTAGCAATTAGCAACCGGTTGGAAACCAGAGACGCTAATGAGGCAGAATGAGCTGGGAGCCTGGGAGGGCTGCTTCTGCTTTTGTTAAATTCCTTTCTCCCAGTCAGTTTTGCCATCCTAACACACACACT